TCCAAGTGGCTGAGCGAATTGGCCCGCAGAGCGAAGCCGCTGAAGACGAAGATCTGTCCGGGGAGAAAAGTCTCACCCTGGACTGTATCGTTGTTGATGATCAAAGGAGCCATCGGGCCTAAAGGCAACGACACAGAGGAACTCTCAATGAAAGCACCAATGTCAGTGTCAAAACCGGCATATCTCGGGTAGGGGGTCCCGAACTGTGCATCTAGGCCGGATGGTAACAGGAGACAAGGGACACGATGTTTTTTACCCAGGTTCGGGCCCTCTCGATGGAGGTAATACCCTACTCCTGCTTGATTAATATTGATGATATGGGTAGTACAAGAGTAGATCTACCACGAGATCAAGGAGGCTAAACCCTAGAAGCTAGCCTATGGTATGATTGTTGTGTATGGAGTTGATTGCCTACGGACTACAACCCTCCGGTTTATATAGACACCAGATAGGGTTAGGGTTACATAGAGTCGGTTACAATGGTAGGAGATCTTGAATATCCGCATCGCCAAGCTTGCCTTCCACGCCAAGGAAAGTCCCATCCGGACACGGGACGAAATCTTCAATCTTGTATCTTCATAGTCCAGGAGTCCGGCTGAAGGTATAGTCCGTCTACCCGAACACCCCCTAATTCAGGACTCCCTCACTCACCGCGGCGCCGCCCTCCGGTGTTGTCAACAAGGTCAACAACCGAGAGGAATAAGGAGATGACTGTACATGGTGAGGATGATAGTAGGGTCCCAGCAGCGCGCGCAGTAATTTTGTTTTTTCGGGATGGAGAAGGGTATCAATTGGGTTGTGCGGGACCCGTGGCCCGTCTAGCCCAGGCTTTTATTTCATATGTTTAGCACATGACCAGCCCAATTTGTTTTTTTTCCTTTCTGAAAATGGCTAGCCAGCTATTTTGTTTTTTGCAGAATAACCAACGTAGGCCTACTTGCTTTTCTACGCCCTGCTGGGCCGAAAATCTTTCAAGATGAGAAGGGATGCATTTTGCCCAGAAAATGGGCTATAAGTAATAAGAAATGGGCTATAAGTAATAATAAATGGGCTGTAAAATAAAAAATATAGCAAACAGGCAATTAGTTCCAAAATAATGTTTTCTTTCGGATTTTGATATTTTAAATTTCATTGTTTTTGTGCGGGTAAAATTTCATTGAATTTAAGTTAAGCTATATTTAGATTTAAAATTAATTTGAATCTGGCTAGAAATTTCGGGCTGTATGCTGTTTGGGATAGATTTGGAGGCTGACTTGTGGGTCTACTAGGTTGACGTGTACTTTGGCTTTGTCAACTTAGTCCACAAACGATTCTAGCAGCAGTGACCGTTGGATGTTAATCCAACGGCCATGGTGCTTCTTCAATATCTGATCTTCTTGCTCCAGCCGCCCAAACCAGCTCCGACGGGACTGCCTGCTCCCGCCTCCCGTGGCCGGCTGTGCTGCCGCACACGCCGCACCGCCCCACCCTACTTCATTGTTGGCCAGGCCATTCCTCTACTCGCCCACACCTCCTGTTATTTTCCAGCGACGGCAGTTGGACCAGTAAACCCTCGTACTCCCCACCGCTTGGGCAACCATTGCCGAGTCTTCCCCGGCTCCGTGTCTTTCCCTTCCTAGGCCTCGCTGTTGTCCACCGCCATGGTGCTCTCTACGCGGCCTGGTCAACGTGGTCAACAAATGACATCCATCGGCCATGGACTGTACGCGCAAAATAATGATTCCTCCACCTGACAGCTGGGTCCCACCGGAAGGGCCTCCGTATTTCGCAAAAAAAATGTCCCCCCCCGCTAACATGTCAGACCCACCAGCTATATCTTTGCACGCAAGGAAGTGCCTCCTTATTACGCACAAAAAAATGAATACCCCTGCTAGCTGGGACCCATCATAGTGGGAGGATGACTTGTGGGCCAACTAAGTTGATGGGGATGGAGGGCTTTGTCAACTTAGCCAATATGAACGATTCTAGCTCCAGTGACCGTGCGATGTCCATCCAACGGCCGTAGTGCTTCTTCAACCTCTGGTCTTCTTGCTCCAGCCGCCCAAAGGAGCGCTGGTCGTGTCGCATGCTCCTGCCTCCCGTGGCCAGCTGTGCTGCCGCGGAGGCCTCACCGCCCCCTACTATTCCCACCACTGGCCAGGCCCTACGGTGACGACAGCCTCACACCGCAGCTGAACCAGTGAACCCTCGTACTCCTCTCTGCACGGGCTTCCACTGCCACGTCTTCCCCGGCTCCGTGTCGTCCCCTTCCTAGGCCTCGCTGTCGTCCACCGCCGTGGTGCTCTCGGCGCGGCCTGGAACGACTTCCATTGGACGTGGACTGTACGTGGAGAGGCTGACAGCTGGGTCCACGGCCGCAGCAAGGAAGTGCCTCCTTATTACGCGGAAAATAATGATTCCTCCACCTAACAGCTAGGACCCACCAGACGGGCCACTGTATTTCGCAGAAAAAATGTTTCCCCCTGACTGCAGGGACCCACCAGCTTCATCTTCTCACGCAAGGAAGTGCGTCCGGGCAAAAAAACAATTCGCCCCCTGACTGTTGGGACCCACCAGCTACACCTTCGCACGCAAGGAAGTGCGTCCGAGCAAAAAAAAAGATTCGCCCCCTGACTGCTGGGACCCACCGGCTACATCTTCACAGGCAAGGAAGTGCCTGACAGTCGGGACCCACCTGGTCGAAGCGTACGTAGCGTTGTCATTCTGGTCGTGAACGTGTACGTACATACTGGTCGATGTAGAGGCGTGCATGTGTCGTAGTAGAGGCGCACATGTAGCATGTACATGTACGTACAACGGCTAGGGTGCAAGAAATAAAATACGGCCACGTATGTGTACATACGGGCGGGGTCTCGAACGCCTACTCGCGCATACGTATAGCCAGGGCTCGTGTACATGGCTGGGTCGGAACGGAGAAACAACGTCGTCGTCGTGTTCATGGGGAGGCAACGGAATGTGTCATGTTCATGGGGAGGCAACGGAATGCGTCGTGTTCATGGGGAGGCAACGGAATGTGTCGTGTTCATCGGGAGGCAACAGAACGTGTGGGAGCCAACCGGCTGGGTCGGAACGGAATGTGTGGTTGTGTTCCTCGGGAGGGCTTGGACGGAGCAGGCGATGGAAACGAGGCCTGGCGTAACGCACAACAGAGGAAACTGACCTCCTACGTTTGGAACGGGGTCCTGTTGATCAGGAGGGGTCTGGCGTACCGCAAAACAGAGGAAACAGACCTCCTACGGTCAAAATGGGGGTCCTGTTGATCGGGAGGGGTGTGGCGTGCCGCAAAATGGACGAAACGAACCTCCTACGGTCGAAACGGGGGTCCTGTTCATCGGGAGGGGTGTGGCGTACCGCAAAACGGGACTCCACGGGATACTATTCATCTCCACCGTCGACCTCCTCCAGCCTCCACGGGCTCCTGTTCATCCAGCCTCCACCGCGCGCTACTCCACCGGCTACTGTTCAACCACCCCCACTACAAGAAATATGTCAACTTATGACCACCACTATTGGTCACTGAATGGTCACAAATTTCCATTTATGACCTTTTTGTGACCAAAAACATAAGGTCAAAAGCTGGGCGTCGTAAACTGACTATAGCTTCCTTTCTTCTAGAATGGTCGCAGACGTTTATGACCAAAATATGTCCACTGTGGCGTTTTGGTCACTAGCAACCTCCGCAGGCCACGTAGGCATCCAGCGTGGCAAGATGATGTGGCACAAGATTCAGCCCGGTCCAATTCGGTTTTCTACATGGGCCTAGCCCAACAGTTCGGCCTTTTTACTATATATTTTCTCTATTAATTTTCTCTAGCTACATGGGCCTGGCCCAACAATTTGGCCTTTTTATTTTCTAGGCATGGCCTTTTTCGGTCCATTTCATTTTTATTTTCAAGGGTTTTTTGTGGTGCAATTTTTAGATGGGTCCCAATTGTCAGATTTTTCCTGGCAGTGGAGCCACATCGCTTTTTATCAAAGAACTCATCAGCTTTCCATTTCTCACATTTCCCACAGTACAAAAATGACAAATATTTCAAATGAAACATAACTAGGTACAAAGTATATTTCTCACATTTCTTACAGTTTTACAACTTCACTGGATTCTGCTCCAGAATGTGCCGACTACTATAGAATACAATATAACTAGGTACAAAGTACAGCCAAAACACAAGGCAGATTATCCAAATAACCACCATGCTTCATCGTCTTCTCTTCCAAACAAGTGGAATGAGCCCTCTCTTCTCCTAGGCATGCTCCACCTACAACAGCAGTAAGAGCAGGTCAAGAACAACAATAGAGTCATATGAGCTGCTTCTGCTCCTGTTAAACAGAATAACAACAAATCGAGTTAATAAACAAGCTTGAAGCACTATGGGAAACAAAAGCATAAAAACAAACTAATGTCTCAGGTATAATCATAGGATAAATCTGTGTTGAATCACTGTGTTTATATGTATTTTAATTAATTTCAAATGTGCAATGTAAGGTGTTGTGGATCAGTGTATAAGAACAACAATTTGTAAATAACAGGAACAACTTGGTATTACACACAGAGCACTATACAGATTTTAGCTTTTCTATCCAAGTACAAATAGCAAAGCATACTAAATTAATTGAGACACTCATAAATACTTGGCGAGAGACTAAGATGAAACATGCATATATATATATACTACTGTAAATTAATTGAGACGCTCATGCCAACATGTTCAGATCGAAATGCACTAACAAGTAGTACCTGTGAAACTAACAAGATGGTTGGTGCTCAATCACAGGCACATCAAATGTACAGTTAGTACCTGCGAAACAACCACATACATTGCCCCCAAAATGAAACATACTAGTAATTACTAGGCGATGCAGATTGCAGATCAAAAAGGAAATCCAACCCCTCTTTGAAGACAATTATTGATAGTGGTAAGTAAGAATCAGGGTGTTTGGCTCATGTGTAAATATGTTGCACAACAAAACAAATTCAGTTTTTGATTAATAACCAGTTTTCAGAGCCTTTGGCTGATGTAGGCGATGCTCAAGAAGTAAGTAGTACTTGGGTATTCTGCCTGCCTACTAAACAATAGAGGAGGAGGAACATAGCTATCAAAGTCCCCACCAGGTGCAAACAAAAGACCAACCCGAACAGCAGCTATGGTGGAAACTCCAAACACTCTACCAATAAATGTTACTACTAGTGTCTTTCCAATAATTAAGAGACCTAATATCAAAGAGACTGCTAGGAAGTTTGACAGAAACAACTTTGGGTCAATAGACATTCCAACCTGGAAAGAAACAAACCAGGGTAAGCATTAAGATTTAAGAAGGTATCAAATATGGTCGGAACTTATAAAAGGAATTAGAAATGTTCTAAAGTAATTCAAGCATTGATGTTCAAGAAAAAAAATTCTTCCAACATATGTGCATTGATGTTCGGAGGCATAGCAAGCAGAAACTATTGAGCACTAGATCTACATCAGGAATTGAAATTCTTCCAACTCTGAACAGCAATGCGATGCAGGAGAATAAAATTAACGTATAAATAATTAGTGAAACCCAGAAAATAATCATGAATCTTACGATGCAGAGTGACATTATTCTACATTAGGTACATAAAGTTCACGTAGTTAAGGCTCACTGCTATCATGTTAATTTCCTCACAACAAAATTACCGAAATACATGAAAAACAAAGAAACAGAACCTTGAGCTGGACAGGGTGGAGTTTGCCAGCACAGCAAGAGTACGAAGATCTAGACAGCTTATGGAAGAGTAGACATCCACAGTTTCAACCTCATGGAACAGATCCTGCGGGCAAAATAAAATATAGAGCCTATTTTTGGTAATTCGAACTAACTTGTAATCGAAACCATTGTCAGTGCAAATCAATCCCAACTCTGAGGAGACACCCTATAGCATAATGAAATATGCTCCACTCGGCATGCATTACCAACATGAACAAAAATAGCATATAAAGCGGACTTCCTTTGATAATCATAGTACACGAAAAGGGGCCTATCATTAGTTGAAAAAAGCAAGTAGTCTGACTTCAAATTAAGCACACATATTGGAATTACTTGACATTTACTGGTCAGGTAAGGGGCAAAAGTAGTTCCACATGTCAACTAAACCGAGCATCGCCAAAGAATTCAACATTTCAAGTGAAATTGTTACTACTGTACTAGTGTGCAGCGACTGGGGAGAAAAACTCATCAATTAGATTTTAACTTGGTGCACTTGCATTCAGTCACCACCGCCAATGGGGCATTCCGAAACAAAATTGGTCTAGTGCAGCTGTGGTTCCAATTGAGGTGTGCCCTACCTATGGTATTACATAAGCCAAACAAATTAATTAGGATTCAGCAGCAAGCAGCTGCACAACTGCATCACTCCCTGTCCCCCTCCCTTCAGATACAGCAGCGATTGTTGAAAACAAAAAGGTAACCAATTGGACGGGTCAATGACACACTCTGAACCCGAAGACAGCATGCGAACTGCGGGGGAGAGCAGGGGAGGGAACAGGGGCGTACCGGCCCACGCCGTGAGGACGGAGGCGATGGAGGTGCCGATGGTGAAGACGACGCGGCAGTGGCTCTCGAACACTTCCTGCACGCACACACCGTATCGGGGGGGATCAAAACCAGATCACGAGAAGCGGAGGGGGGCATCCGGGATGGGGCTAGTTTGATTTGATCTGGGCGGGGCGGGGCACACCGGCATCAGCCAGGCCCAGCCGCGAGAATGCCTCCGCCAGGCACACCGGCGTCAGATCCACCCACTCCCTCTACTCCTCCTCCTCCCCCGGCGCCGCCTCGCCGGCCTCGCGTCCGGTCACCATCTCGCCTCCGCTCTCTTTTCTCTTTGGGTTGGTGGGCTGGTTGGTTCGGTTGGGTGGTGAGGGAAGGGGAGGGGCGAGAGGAGGGGGGCGTGGGGGAGGCCATGAACGACGGCGAGCTCCGCCGGAGGGAGGTGGCGGTGGCGGCGGCGGCGATGGATCTGGAAGGGAGGCGGCGATGGATTGGGTTGCGGGGCTCACGGTGAGGTGAGATGAGGGAGAGATGGTGAGGGGAGGGAGGGACGAGGTCGGCAGTGGTGGGTGAGGAGGACGGCGAGGTCGGCGGTGGATCGGGAGGCGGCGGGATGAGATTGGATCGGGAGGTGGCTGCGGCGGCGAGCAGATGGGGGGAGAAGGGTGCGATGGGGGAAGGGGTGTGATGTGAGCTAGGGTTTGTGCTGCGGTGGGGTGGATGGACGGATGGATGTGGGATGGTGAGATGGATGGATGGATGGATGAGTGCCATGTCATCGATCCGTGGGAATGGTTCTGATTGGTTCAGAAAATCAGTGATTTAAAAGAGTTTCCAAGTACAAAAACTAGAGGGATTTTGTGAAGTAGCTATCAAAAATATTTTGCAAAATGGTACCACACAAATTTTCACTAGAGTTAGACCACATTTTATGGATAAGGACCAATTTGTACACATTTCTCATCTTTCTAGCTATTTTTAATCATTTTTCTAGTGCCCCAAATGATGTTTTTTTGTGAAGAACTTACCAAATAATTATTGCAAAATTGAACCAAATCATTTTTCAAAAATACTAGGTCATATTTAATGCATATTTGACCAAATGGTTGGGTGTAAAAAGTTTTGATCCACCTCTGGTGAAAAAGACAAATTTCCGCCGATTCAGGTGGAAGCGGGTTAAATCTGAACCGCAGCTACCTCATAGTTTGCTCTTTATTTTTTCAAAAAATCATTTCTAGGTACATAAGTATCTATTTAATCAGAGAAACACCAAAAAAATTATAAGATTCAACCACTAGCTAGGAACGGTCATTCGCGTCATTTTGACCGCATTTTGAAACGGGCATAAAAAATTCAAAAAAAAGTCAAAAAATTGGGAAACCTTCGAATTGTGTCATTATATGTGGCCAAGTTCCCAGGAAAAATAACAAACTTGTAATACGGCAATTATTTTAAAGAAGTGTTCTCAGAAACGAGCTATCACGTGTGGAGATCAATGGCTTTCAAGCCAAATGATCAATCTTATGGCCACATCCATGGCATAGTTTGTTCAAATGATCTCATATTGTGCACAAGGGTGCATATTGGAATGGCAAACAATGTTGCCCAAGGAAGTTTTCATTTTCGTTGGACGAAAAAACCATTTTCCATTTTTCGAGTGCCCGAAAGGAGGTTTTTTTGTGAAGGAACTACCAAATAATTGTTGCAAAATTGGACCAAATCATTTTTATAAAATACTAGGCCATATTTAATGCACAATTGACAAAATGGTTCGGTGTAAATTTTTTTGATCCACCTCTCGTGAAAAAGACAAATTTCCGTCGATTCAGTTGGAAGCGGGTCAAATTTGAACTGCAGCTGCCTCATAGTTTGCTATTTATTTTTTTCCAAAAATCATTTCTAGTTAAATAAGGACCTATTTAATCATAAATACATGGTTTGTTGGCGATACGTCGAGGTTTGGGCGGTGGCCGAGGGCCCCAACTCTAGAGCGCGTAAACTCGCATGCCCGTCGCGTGGTCACTGCGTGACCGTAATGTTTCCATGTGTTCTGGGCGGCCTAGGCATGTCTAGTGGGTTGGGCACTCCCCAGGTTGGTGCTAGGAAGAAAATTACAACATAAGATTCTCATGAGGAGACCGATCGATGCTCAAACATGAATTAGCAGGCAAGTGTTTGATTAGCGGTACGGGAAATGCACATGGCCAATGGGCATGAGTTTTGGCCGAGGATGATCATCTACTAAGGAGAATGTCTTCACAAATTTTTAGCTCAAAAGGAGGATCCTAGGTGGTACTTGCTTTGCAAAGTACCACGCTGGACAAAAATATGAATGTTGAAGCTGGGCTCAAAATAATGAATGGAGTGAGCTGAAATTTTGTGGAGGATGGTTATTTGGGCATAGGAAAGCATTGTAGAAAATTGATACCATTTGGACATGCGAAAGTAGTACTTCCTTCACAATGCTCTTCTATGGATAGAAACTTGGGAAAACTAGTGAGAGAGATTGGATGAATGAAATGAGCTCAAAATTGGTGTAGGTAAGTTACTTAGGTATGGTCATGCTCTGGTAAATTTTCAGATCATTTGGGTAAGCCTAGCTTGTACTTACTTCACAAAGCTTCTCTCGAGCTAGAAACTTTGAAAATTTCCCAAGAAAGATTTACTAGGAAAATTGAGCTGAATATTATCATGTGGCAATGATTTGGGTATGGATGAGTGCCCGAAAAGTTTGAGGGTAATAGGAGGGGTCTATATAACACTTGCTTTGCAATGTGCCAATTTGGCCATAAAATATAAATTGAACCTGGGCTCACATAGATGATTTGACTGAGCTGCAATTTGGAGGAGGTTGATAATTTGGGCACATGAAGGAACTGTATAAATTTCATGTCATTTAGATATATAAAAAAGGTACTTCCTTCACAATGCTTCTAGGTGGACAAAAACTTTGGAAATTTGCCGAGGAAGATTTGCTAGGCAAATGGAGCTGAATTTTGTCATGCAGTAATAATTTGGATAGGAAAGACTGCCCAAAAATTCCGAGGGCAATCAAGAATATATAAATAGCACTTCCTTCATAAACTGTTGTTGTGAACAGAATAGGAAAATGAATATTGTTGAATTAGTTTTAAACTAGGCAAGAAAGGATTTTTACATATTTGATGAAGATATGCCCCAAAGAATTTATGAGATTTTTTTGGGAATTTTGGGAATGATAGAAATATAGGTTGCTTCACAACCTAGGGCAAAAACTGCCACATGGACATGACACATAGGCAAAACTGATGAGATGGCACCTAGTCATCACAACCCACCACAATCTACAAGGCTATGACCATCTATATTGGTCATTAACAACTAGAAATAAGGCAGCGGACTAGCACTGTTTGCTTTGTGACCATTTCGTGTAAGGAAATTACGACCTTTCTGACCAAAATGGTCGCAATGGTTTAGGGTTTGGAGCCCTCTGAACAGCTTTTGACCAATTGGTCTAAAATGGTCATAAATTTATGACCAATTCTTCAAGGGTCACTGATAGAAGGTCATAAGTTGACATATTTCTTGTAGTGCCCTCCACCGTCTACTGTTCATCTAGCCCTCCACACCACGGGGTCCTGTTCAACCACCCCTCCACGGGCACCCCTCCACCGTCTACTGTTCATCCAGCCCTCCACACCACGTGGTCCTGTTCATCCACCCCTCCACGGGCA